TTGCATGCTTGAAATGGTTTCATGTCCTTTGAAATATTCGGTGGTCCAGTAGATCCCGGAATATGCCCACCAGCTTGCTGCTTAATATACATTGCTTGTTGTGCTGCTATCTGATTTTGTAAATTCTGAATTGTTGCTTAGTTTTTGTTATTTGAACAGATACATGAAGGCTATTAGTATTATTTCCACGACCTAAAGTTTGGTGCAATGATTTAATTTGCTGAAGTAGCTGGTTCAATAATAATAATGTTTGTGGTGCCAGAGGCTGGTTAAGTATCTGCTGGTTGAGATAACCAGCTTGTACGGCCATCTGAATTTGCTGAACTAACATGCGCAACTGAAGAGTAGATGGTGATGTCTGACTATAAAAAATAACCTTTTGTTAAGAAGTTTTCATGAAATAAATATTTTATTTATATACTAATACATAACTAGTTGTAAGGTACATTTTACCTTAAGGCAAGTTACATAAACTTTCTGATATGTGTGAATAATCAACTTAATAAAAATTGAGAAACAAATACTTAGTAAAATGTTTAGAAATAACTTATTATTCATAAAATGAATTTTTTTCTTTCACTGAAAAATAAAACTATTTCCAATCCATGTCTTTCGAACACACTTATAATATCTGTGATTGTTTAACAAATTTCATTTGATCTATTTCATGCTCTAAAAATGTTTTAAGTGTGGACATCAGCACATATGAAATACAGAGTATACATATTGCTCAGGGTAGATTGTAATCAAAATTGATTAAGAGAGTGGTAAAAATATAATCTTTGATAAAGTTTTATAATTCAACGGTTATCTTAGGTATAAATACACCCACACTCACATATAGATATGTTCCATCTTCAAGACATCTGTCATGAAACATGATTTTGATTAGATTTAAACAAACAATATACTTAAGACAAATTATACAAATCTCAAATTACATGCACACTTAAACATAATTTCACTGTTCTGTATTTTTGCAGTTATATTTTATTTTTATTTTATGGAAAATACAAAATGGCATTATTTTGGGTCATTTTATACATAGAAAGTCAAAATTGAAAGTGAGGTTGTAAAGAAACAGCTTCTTTCGATGAAAATCTTTGTATTAGTAAAAAATCTCAAGCAAATATCTGCATATGTTAATAGATTTAGTACCAGTTTCGGGAAGTCAGATACAACAAAATTTATAAACAACTCTAGTATATATACATATGTTTTGATAAAATGCATCAACTAACCTTCCACTTTGTGAGAATGGCGTTTGATTCACAATTTTCTGTACTAAAGCAGGAGCAATTGCTGACATATTAGAATTTATACCCAGACCAGGGTTAGTATTTGAAGATGCACCTCCCATATTATTGAGAAGATTTGGCCCATTTCCACTCTGGAAATTTAATTTCAAAAATATAATATATTACCATGCTGCATCATGAAGTTTTAGAAATAATGTAGACAACTATAAAAGCAATAATTAAAAGGAGAAAGTAAATTCAGAAAGAATTTATTCTGAGAGAATCACTTTAGGGTTGCTAACATTGGATGTTTGAAATTATGTAAAAAAATTGGAACATGTTATATTAAAAATGTATGTATAATAATTCAACGTATAGAAAACAACAAAATACATTAAATATTAACTAACCGGATTTCCAAGAGGCATGTTAGATTGAGGAAACCTGTTGGGAGGATGATCGAAAGATACATCGTCACGATGACGTCCCCAATTGTCTACGTTGCCCATATTACCTCTGAATTGGCTAAGTAACTCTAAAGCTTCTTCACAATTCATATCACGATTACGTAGTGCATGTTCAACATCTTCTTTCTGTGAGAACAATTTTAATACAATTAGTATAACACAACGAAATACCAAGTGTCAATTTTATAGATAAGTATAAAAGTAACATTTATCATTTAACTCTTTATGTCTTGCTCAATATATAGTAATAAATAAACCAAGTAACAAATAAATTTCGTAAACATTTTGAGTATGTAACCCTAAAATCTAAAACATCAATTACCTTATATCCCATCTCACAAAGTATTCGGAATTGTTTACTATTCCAAACCATTTCCTTAGAGAGTTGTTTAGAGGGTGGATTGGGTTTCCAATCTGAAGGCATATCATTATCAGCCCATCCACTAGGTTTGGGTACTTTGGGACCTCCTCCCCATCCTCCAGGGTTCATACTATTATCACTACCTGTCCAAGACATACCTCCCTTATCATCCCAATTGTGTGGATTTTCATCCCAAGAACCATTTCTGAAAATATTATAAAGTAAATATACAATTTTTTAACTTCCCGAAGGAGAAGTTTATGTTTTCATCAAAAAATCCGACTCGCTAATTTTATGTTTTCTCGACGTTTCAAGCCATTCTGAATCGAATGAGACCAAATTTGGAAAAAGTATGTGTGTGTGTGTGTGAACCGATTTTTTGCCGTAAATCGACGTTTTCTCAAAAACGCCTGGATCGATTTCAAAAATTTAAAAGCCATTCGATGTATCTCAATGAGGACTAGCGTTTCTAAGTTTTGCGCGACGATCGGTCAGGCCGTTTCTTTGTAAATCGCAGAAAAGTGAAACATTTTTCGTCCACGTTTTAGCCCGTAATTATGAATCAATTTTGAAAATTCAAAAACCGTTCGATAGATATTGATTGGGAATCGTGCTGATTAGTTTTTGGTAAAGATCGGCCCAGCCGTTTTCTTGTAATAAAGTTTTTTTAAAAAAAATTTCGACGATTTTCATGATTTTTTTTTTGACGGTAGATACCATGGTCTTGTAGATCATACTAAAATATTACGGCCCTACAAGTCATTTAATTTTGAAAAATCGTCAAAGTTTGCAAAAATTAGTATCGTTTCTTTGACATTTGACAAAATTAAACCTTTGATCGACATTTTCTCAAAAACGCCTGAACCGATTTCATAAATTTAAAAGCCATTAGATGTATCTCAATGAGGACTATAATTTGTCAGTTTTGTGAGACGATCTGCCGAGCCGTTTCTTTGTAATTTGAAAAAAAGTGTTAAACTTTTCGTCCACATTTAAGCTCAAACTACCGAATCGATTTTAAAAAATCAAAAACTGTTCGAAAGATATTAATTGGGAATGATACTGATTAGTTTTAGGTGAAAATCTACCAAGCCGTTTTCTTGTAATTAACTGTTGAAAAAAAAATTTAAGTCGATTTTCATGTAACTTTTTTTGGCGATATATATCATGGTCTTATAGAACTTACTGAAATATCATGGCCTTACGACAAGTAGTTTAATTTTAAAAGTTAATCAGAGATTAAGAAAATGAGTAGTTTTTTTGACGTTTGTTAAAATTAAAATTAGACGATTTTCTTGATATAACGATAGAGTGCTTGGTTTTAATGAACATAGTAAACCATTAAAGTCCTATGGAAACTGGTTCAATTATAAAAACTGGTGATTTTTGAAAATTTGCCATTAGAAAATAATAGAGTCAAAGTGTTCGTTCGTTTTCAATCATATGTAATAAATCCACTCGGAATTCTTTTAATCACTCATAAATCAAATTATTTTTATTGATTAAGTCGATTAATTACACATATCGGAAAGTTCATGTAACTTGCCTCAAGGCTAAATACCAAACCAACCAGTTTTTTTAATTAATTTGAATAATACTAAAGCTATTTCTAATTACCTAGGCCCAGACATCCACATGGGATCAGGTTTGTTAGGCAATCGATTTGGTGCTGGTCCACCTGGTCCACTACCTAGCCCTCCACCTCTCCCAGTCATGTTTACACCACCTGGTTCTTTCCAGTGTGCCAACCCCACACCACTTCCAGCACTTGGTAATCTCCCACTGCCACCTGCAGCTCCAGTACCAGCACTTTGACCTCCCCAGAGAGAGGTACCATCATCAAAGTTAGGTAAGTTGCGCCTTTGCACGGGTGGTGAGGGTTCTTCCCATCCCGATGACTTTGTAGACATCATATCTTTTGCGTTTGGACCAACACTCCACTGGCCTTCAGTAACAATACAAATAAAATTAAGCAACATGCATGATATGTATTTATAGACAACGTTTCAACAATCTAATACTCTTTTTTAAAAAATCTTGATTTAAAACCTTAGTTTATCAAAATCTGAGAATAAAATTAAAAAATGAATATTACCTGGTGGAACCATTTTATTAGGACCCATTTGATGAGCCCACATTTCAGTTGATCCATTGAGACGTCCTGAAATTCCTCTAGTATCTCCTCTCATATCACCATTATTACGCAAATCACTACCTCCCATGACACGTGGGTCCAACATCATATTTCTCATGTCTCTGACTTCACGAGGATCTGTCATTCCTCGAGGATCCATTCTGGAATCTGAAGCCCATGAGGCACCACTACTGTTAGCACTGCTAGCACTATTACCCCATTCATTCTCTTTTTTATTACCTAAAATAATTGTTCATAATTATTTTATTTGTATTACTTTTTATAATAATATGAAAAAATTCATCCATACCCAAAACACAAAAACTTAATCATATATTTTTTGAAAAGTTTATATATTTTGTACAAATATGTATTTGTGTAAATATGTTTATAAATTTGTACAAATATGTAACACCTCATTAATATTTCAAACCCAAGATTACAAAATATAAAACTATTTCATCTAAAATATAATATTAATTGAAATAAATTATTTGATAAAACCCAAAATATTTTTAATCCTTCAATGCTCAGTAATTAATGTAGAAAAACTTAATTTAATATCGCTAAGTATTAAAACTAACGACAAATTATTTGTATTTGTTGTAAATAAAAACTCGCAATGGTCTATTGATGGATAATTTTTGGATATGCTTTTCTTGCATATCATGATCTATCTGTAAATAAATCTTTCTTCCTCTCATATAAGAACATACATGCAAATTCAGTTACATATTGTCCATTTGGAAGGGCAAAATAATGTATTCATAAGTGAGAAAAAATAACTGTCTTTGTGGCCTATCCTAAAATTTAGGTTTCATATACTCTGGCAATTTATAATTTTTTTTACAAATCTATTATATGAAGGATTATACAGTCAATCCTCTGTTAACACCGCAAGTGCATATCATGTGAAACCGTGCTATAAAAATCTCAGATTCAAAATGAAATCTGGGCAAATTTGTAGTATGATCTATGAAAACTTACTATAGCGTTTTATGGGAACCGTGCAATGATAGATTAAGAATTAATACAAGTCGCAACATTTTTATCTCGCTCTATGGAGACGAAGAGGTAAAAGGCATTATAAGTTATAAATTTGTGTACAAATTATTGAAGGGCATGCATGGTTGAATCAGTAAGCGCTTGGCTTGCAGATGCAAAGATAATCAGGACAAATGCCAATATTGAATACTAAATATAAAAATGATGTAAACCTCAAAATGGTTGATAAGAATTTTAAATGGTTGAATATTATAGCAAAAACCAACAAAAAAAAATGAATTGTTTTTATTAAAATCAAGGGTTGATATTAGAAAATGATAAAAGGAAAATGAAACAAAAGCTAAATAATAAAACATTTCTAACAAAAAGTTATTCAAGCTGATTTTTTTTCTAGGAAGGCTGCAAGCGAAAATGCCATAGCACTAATTAATCTGAAGTCATACACAGTATGTAATCTGGCATGGTTATATAAACATATTGTAAAAGATAATATAGTTGATAACTATATCTATATATATATATATAGTCATCCCTCCGATAACACTAATCTCACTCAACAAGCACGAGTTTCTTCTGCGCAACCTATGAACGATTCTATTAACTAGATATAGTTGTAAAAAGTTTTAATTTAGGTTTCGTTATGAACTATATTATCTTTTACAATATGTTTATATAACTGTTATTTAACTGTAACTTTTACTTTGGGATCGTTCAAGTATTACGTAAGCAGATTTAGTACAATTATTTACCCCCCTCCCCCTTTGTCAGCAAAAGTAAGCAAAGTTGTCACCAAAATATCACATAAATAAGCAAATCAATAACCCCCCCCCCCCCCCTATAGTGCTTACGTAATACTTGAACGGCCCCTTTATAAAAAATCGTTGGTTGATACGTAGTATGCATTATGATATAGTTTATTTAGTTTACTTTGTACAGTATAATCAATAAAAGTCAAATTAGCTCTTTGAACCCCACCCTACCCTATATATATATATATATATATATATATATATATATATAAATATATAATAGATAATATATAACACTGATTTTTAATACATATTTTATTATGTCATGTGTTGTCATTTGAAAACTTATTTTTTGTATTTTATTGAATTTAATAAAAAAAAAACTGGGCGTTGAAGGATTTATAAATTCCTATGAATACTTATTACAGTATAATCATAGTTTCACCAATTATGTTCTAAATATTATATATGATCAAATTAAATAGTTACAAAAAAAACTAATAATCAAAAAAAATATGTCAACAAATAATAATTACATTTCTAATAATTTGATTAAACAAATCTAACATTGCACAATCATTCATACCTCCCCACATACCACTACTTGGAACATTATTTGTTCCCCATTGAGCAGGTGGAGGTGTGGGGCCTCCAGTCCAAACATTTGAATCAGATGGGGCATCATCTTCTCCCCATGTTCCACCAAGGTGAGTAGTTGGAGTGTGACCCCAAGGTGTTTTTTGAGCAGGCTGTGGTGGCGGTTGGCCACCATTACGTAAATTTGCTTCCCAAAGATCAGTACCTGCTACCACAAATTATATATATAAAAATCTATATTTATGTTATAAAATTCTAAATAAATATCATAATTGAGACATAGTTGACATTACTTAAATAAAAAGTGATGTATAAATTGAATTATACAAAACTCTTTAACAAACCATATATATGACAATAAAACAGGGCATGGAAATAAAAGTGTGAATCCACTCATAATACTGTATAAGTAAATATATACCATTATTTATACTGGGTTTCCAAACTGGTGGTCCACCACTAGGGTCCGGTTTTGGTCCAGAAGGTTCTGGAGAGCCAGGTACATCCCAATTTGTATCTTGATTAACATGTTGCTATTAGAAGAAAAAAAAAGTATTACCAATAGTTTTATACTTCACTGTGAGCACACAGAAAAATAGCAATACTCTTTATATGAAGATATCTCTATTGACAAAAGATTAATGACAATTTTTTAAACAACTCATTAGTATCTAATTACATATACAGATGCATATTTTACGTGAATAATATAGTACAAGTAAGTGATTTACCCCGCCCCAGCCATCTTGACTGAATAAAGATTCCCTCATTGTGTTTAACTGTTCAAGCTGATTTTTTGCAGAGTTACTGCAGGGATTAGTGGTTGTACTTGATAAAGCTCCAGAGGCAGGTGTTCCTGCATTACTAGTAGTGTTTATAGCTGTAAACACAAATTATTAAATTGCTGTTTTCTAAAACAAGCATAGTTTTAAAGTATAACTTATAATGCATAATTTTTTCAAGTGAGTTAAGGCAAAATAAGTTTGAACAAAAATTAAAATAAACTATATAAAAAAAATTTCAAAACTTTGTATATTACTCTTGTTTTCCCTATTTATTAACTCAATTTAGAACTTTTGCTTTTTCCATCTGAATAAATTGATACTTACGCGCATTGGAAGTATTAATATTTCCATTATTAGGCCCTGAAGCTGAGTTTCCCGTAGAACTAACAGGTTTTGATTGATTGGTGTTAGCTCCCGTAGGGCCAGTATTTGTACTCCAATTTGGACCATTATTATTTTGAGTATTGTTACCCTGAGTTTGAACAACATTTTGAGTGTTCGAAGCAGTTGCATTTGCTTTATTTGAAGATCCTACAAGTTGAAAAAAAATAAATATGGCAAAAGAAGAAAGTACTAAAAGTGAGAACTTGAATTACCATCAGGTTGTGATGTTGGTGGACGTTGAGTGCCAGTTGCACTGTTAGCATTCCATTGTGATTGTGAAGCCCCAGGACCACCACTTGTACCCCAATTTCCAGAATTAGCTGAACAATAGATAAGGCTATAATATACATTGAACAATTTCATATAATTATATAATTTAATTACCGTTTCCAGTATTAGAACCAGGTGGGCTTCCCCATCCAGTAGTACCACTATTTAAAGAACTTTCACCACCACCACACAAGCGTAGACGAGGCGATATTCCCCAGCGTTCATGGTATGATGATTTTTTATTTCCAGTCAGATCCTTAAAATCATTTGTCATTGAAATAAAATCACTCTGACCATTTCCAGAAGCCAATTTTTTTGAAGATTCTTGATTTACAGATATACCATTCATTCTGAATGCAATCCCTGATAGACTTTCAGACTCTTGGTAAGATAAAATATTAAATAAAGCGCTGTTAGTAGCATAATCAGACTTGTAATTGTCAGGTTGATCATCATAAGTATCTGATGATCCAGTAAAGCTTGAAGTATTTTTGTTTCTCATTTTCAGAATGGCAATATTTTCAGGAATGTTGGACTGTTTAACACACTTATCTTCTAAATTTAATTTATTTTTATTATATGTAATACACTGACTTTGATATTGTTTCTGAACTTCCAAAAGAGCACCAATTTTATTATACTTTGTTTCATTATAATGATTAGTTGTGATCACAATATTTCGATGTGCTAAGATTATTGATTCGGTAACGGCAGAACTAAAGAACTGATAATTCATATTGTACGTAATGATATCACGTATTTTGCAATCAATTAAGTCATCATGAATAGATGACAAACAAATATCAATCACCATATTATTATTAAAGATACCCTTATGTAGATTATTTGTTAACGCTATTCTAATGTTCACAGATTGCATATTGTATTCCTTAGAAGTTATCTTAGATATAAGTGAATTGCTTCCTTTAAGGTGGATGAGTAATATACACATATCATTGCATGGGTAAGATTTTTTCAGCATATTGCAAATGGAAGAACAGAAGTTTCCGGGAAAGAATTGTGTATCCACCATATATAAGTCCTGAAATTAATACATTTAATTATTTTTTAGAATAAAATTATTTTATTACATTGCTTTAAGAAAATATTTAATAATTTCATATATATTGAATATAATATTTAAAAAATATGCAATATGTAAATAATTACCTTGAAGGACTGAAAGCTACAAGGGCTGTTTATCACAGAATATGCCTCTTTCTTTGAGTGAACAAGAAATGTGGAACCAGCCATTTCCCACATCCTCGTCCACAAAAAAGGCCGACTAACTCTAGAGGTTACACAGGTAGAACCTACAAACCACAAAGTACATAAATTAAAAATAAAACTAAATCTTTAACATTTTCTCATTCATTTCAAGTGAATGGTGAGAAAAGAAACTGAAGAGAAATATTTATAATTTTAAATAACAAATAATTTGATAGTTCATCATTTACAATAATGCTCATGTAAATTCAACTACTTAAATATACCTGAATTCAAAAATTGCATTAGTTCCATGGCATTCATAGCTGTCGTTTGCGTGTGTGTTTCCTAAAAAAGAAACATTTATAGTTGTAAAAGATATATATATATATATATATATATATATATATATATATATATATATATGTATTGAGAATTTTTTTGTTCGATGTTGAAACTTTGAATTGAATATTTATATCAATAATATTGAATTTATGCAATTCAATATATATATATATATATATATATATATATATATATATAAATTTTAATCATATTAAAAGAGTAACTATTTTATAAGCTGATGTTTTATTAATAGTATTATTACTATTATTTATTTATTCACTTATTGATTCATTCAAAAGCAAGCCATAATAAATATTTCTGGGTCTTATCAGGACTAATGTTATGTTAATGTAACATTGTGTTACTAATAGTACATAATATTGCTTTACTATTAGTAATTGTACGTACTAGTACTAATAATAATGCTACTTTTAATAGATAAGAATAATTATTTACCTCGCAAATTTGTACAAAGGCATTTGGAATAGTTTGTTTCATCTCAGCCTAGTGAACACAGTCCCTTGTCAGTGCCATATTTTCAAAGTCAATATTCTGAAATAAAGTTAACAACATTGATGTAGAAAAATACAACATTTAAGCTAATCCATCTGTTGGAAAAATAGTAAAAATTTGCAGCTGTGTGATGTTTGACACCAGATGTGTGTCATCATTCAGCAACACCAGAACAAAAACGAAATTTTTTTAGAAAATTAAAATTGTATCAATATTCGAAAAAAAACTTTTTTGGAAAAATAATGATGAATAACCACAAAATTAAAACGATTTTGAGGTTTCAAAACGTATGAATAAAAGGTTTTAAATACTTTATTACATTTTTATTTCGACGAATGGTCTGCTAGTTACTCTTAAATATGTTTCAACATCGAATCTCATATATATATATATATGAGATTCAGCCTTCAGGGCAATACATCAATTAAAAAATTTGTATGACTTTAAATCATTTTTATTTTTTCCATACGTTTCGACACATTGTTTTGTGTCATCTTCAGTGGACTCTAGTTTGAAGGAACAGATAGAAATTATTAATTAAAACTAATATATAAGAAGTGATATGGACTTACATGTAATTGAATTAATCCTAATTATTTCATAATTATAAATGTTCACAATGCACCAAAAAACCAATTCTTGTCACTTTAAATTGAACAATATATAAATTTTCGAATGAGTTTGTTATGGAATTGTAAAGTACATCCCGCTATTCTGTGTTCCGATGCACGGGTGCAGACTGAAGTCATACAAATTTTTTAATTGATTAATTTTTATTATTGCCGTGAAGACTGAATCTCACATATTTCAACATCAAAATTATATAAAAAATTTAATATATATATATATATATATATATATATATATATATATATTAGGGAGAGTCGATTTTAAGGTCACTTAGGCACATATGATTTTTGGATACTAGGGATCAAAATAAGATACTTTGCTGAAGAAACCATGCCTCTAAAATGAATTCTGATGACCTTTGTTCATATTTAACATTTAATATATATATATATATATATATATATATATATATTAAATACGGCACGTATGTACGTATATTTCTACGACTTAAGTTTCTTTCTTTTTGATATTTAGAAAATTTTATTCCGTAGTAGGGATCCAAAAATATTCGAGAATGAGTAAACACGCAAAACTACCACTTTATTATTTTTGAATGTACAGTAAACCCTCCGTTAACACGGCATTCTGGGTACACGATTCCCACACTACGCGGAGCTAAAAATCTGACATCCCTCCGACTACACGGACTTCCTATTACACAATTTTTGTTGAACAGCCCATAAGTTCCTTGCGCAACCTATGAATGATTCTATGAACTTGTTATCAAAAGGGTATTATTGTAAGTTTTGTTATCGACTTTTATCTTTTAGACATGCCTGATTATATAATAGCTGTCTAAGAACACTTTTGAACTGAGTACTACGTCCCGTCAATTTTTGAATTGTGTCTATGTCATACATGTCATTTTGTCCACATTACTCCTACTTCAAGTTGTATTCCTTAAGGTGCGTCCACACCTAACGAACGAACACGAACGAACACGAACGAACATAAAAGAACGTACCAGAACGAACGGCAACAGCATAGTGTGGACGCCACGACGATCACGAACGAACATAAACAAACATGGCGAGCAATGTTCCGCAACTTGTCGGTACATCAAAGGGAATTGTTCGTTCATGTTTGAACTCGTATGTGCAGTGTGGACGTCTCAACGAACGCAAACGAACATTTTTGTTTTAATAATTTTAATAATCTAATAATAATTTTTTAATAATTTAATAATAATGTTAATAATTTTAATGTTTGAAAATTTTAATAATATTTACTTTTAATTATTGTGTACAGTTTGAAAATTTTGAATAAATTATGGAATGGTCAAATGACGTAATTTTATCATTCATAAATGAAATAGAAAAGTTTCCTATAATATGGGAGACTAAAGACCCTTTTTATAAAATTATTAGAAAAAAAAACGATGCTTGGGAAAGTGTAGGCAAAACGTTTGGGATGTCAGAAGCTGCAGTAAAGAAGAAATTGCAGTCATAGATAAAAGAAGAGTATGATTGCAGTCTTTACAAGTAAATATTAAACTTGTTATCATACATAAACATTCAACATATATGTTGAGGATGAGAGTTTGAAAATTGAGTATAGTTAGCTCAAGCCTGGAATGTTCAGCTTGCTCCGAATATGAATGCTGAGGAAAGAAAACGACTCAAAATATAAATATTAAATACAAAAACTGAGTGAAATTAATTGAATAATTTATTTACAGTATATTTACAAAATATACACGAACAAAAATCACACAAAAACCAGTAAAAATGCCGTATGATTAAAGCTTACATCCATATCAATAATAAAACTGACGTTTCACGGAACATCTACGAACAACGAAAATTCAAGCGCTCACTGCTTTTAAGCGCTTGTTCAAGTTCGTTTGGAATTTTTCGCGTTTGTTCGTGTTCCTGTTCGTTCTTCTTTGTATTTTCTTGTTCGACATGTTCGTTCGTTAGGTGTGAACGCACCTTTAGTCTCCATAACAGCACGATCAAAATGATGCAATTTGTACTAACTCTGAGTCTCTCATAGCGCGGTTCCCATACTACACTATATAAGTTTCTAAAGAACGCACTACGAATTGTCCTGAATTGTATGTTGAATACGAGTTTTGTGCAGCGGGGTCCCCATACTACACGGAGATATTTCTCATATTGTAAATGATGTAAATCTGTTTTATTTTATAGAATTAACGAATCTTGTATATTTTGTTATATAATTTGATATTATTTCAGATCATATACAAATATTTTCAAACAAAAGCATTACAAAGTTCTCAAAAGTTTTCAATTCATATCCGTGAGTCATTTTCCACAAAAATGTGCAGACATAAAATCGCTAACGGAATATAGAGAATTATGAGGACATGTATGTCTGATTTACAGATTGGCAGAAAGACGTCGACAAGGTCAACTAAAGAACTTTGACAAAATGCAATGAAGAAATTTAGACTGAACCAAAGCGATACGAATAGCTTAGAACCCCAGAGAAAAATCCTGCCAGAAGGCTGCATATCAAATTCTGCACAATTTGTTCGAGAATAGCTAGTAACGAGTCTTTCGAAGGCAACAAAAATTCTTTGACTAGAGAAAGAAGAATTAATAATATCAAATACAATCATAGTATACTTGTTTATCAACGAGTACTACCGAAATAAATTAGAAAACGAAAAACAACAGGATAGTCGAAGTGAAAAGATGATAGATTGAAGATCAATGTCAATAAATCGAAAGTAAGAGAATGTCGAAAAGAGCGTCTGAGGATATAAAGGAGATTGTAAGAATCGAAAAATGAGGGAATCGCATATGTATTTTATTGTTATAAACATTATTACAACATATACTTTTAAGGGGCACAACTAGTGTAACCGCCTAAAAAAAGATGATTTTTGGGAATTTATATTTAAAAAAACTACGTTATCAATCATTTCAAAATTTTGGGAATATATTAGGGAAGAAAAAAATTAAATATTTTTTAAGTTATCGTCGATCTCCAACGGCGCGACAAAAAAATGGCCCTTCACTGCTGCAGTGATTTTGGCTTTCTACGTGGATGAAATTTAAAAAAGAAATTTTTTTGTTAAACTAGATAATTTTTGTCTGTAAAATAAACTACGATGAAGAAAAAAAAATCAAAAATTGACAAAATGACGGCGTTTTTAAGAAAAAAAATTCGAATTTTACCCAAAATTTTGGTCGTTTTTGGACTGCCAAAATTCGATTTTTGATCCGATCAAAAAATCGATAGTTCAATTTACGGAGAACTATACATAGAACATGTAAAAAAAAATTGATAGTGATCGGATCATTTGTTTTTGAGTAATCGCTACAGCAAATTCGGAAAATGCTGTTTCGAGAAAAACGCGGTTAAAGATAAAATGATGGTTATACTATCTATATACTATATATATAGTCTTTAAATGACTGCAACTCAAAAACTATTTAAGATATCGATTTAAAATTTTGGTATGTTATTTTTAAAAGTATGACCTATCGAAATATGGAAAAATTGAAAATTCGATTTTTTGAAAATTTCACACTAGTTGCGCCCTTTAATGTATGCACCTGTATCGTATTTACTATATATACGCCAATATCGTGTCTATCGGCAATATGTAATTTGTGCTTACTATTTAGATAAGATAATTATATGTTTATGAAAAAAGTATAAACATATTGTATCTGTAATAGTGCCTCTCAATTAACGACTTGTAATACATGAAGATTAAAAATTATAGGTTTTGCATTTTCTGTAATAAATGTAATTTTACTAATAACCTAACAAATAGCATTTCTAATATTATATATTACGTACTTTAAATTTACACAGAATCAAAGCTGTTCCTTTATAATTTCATTCTGTTAAAATCATATCTTCTATTATAAAATTAACAATCTAACTAGAATCAAACAACATATACTATAGCACAATAGCTAACTACGAAATATTCAGATGGTAATAAATCTAACTAAAAAGTGGATAAGATAGTTATTAACCACAGAAATAGTTCCAAGTTATTTTCAAACAAATCCACAGGTAAATCATTTTAGTTCTCAATTCTATTTCACATTGAAATCTGAACTATATTTAAGATTTATATAATATATTCTTTATTATATTTTTGTCATGAACGTTATTTCTTCTGGAGATTGACGCATACATGAATAATTTGCAATAATTTGCAATTAGTTCCGAAACTATTTCTAAATATATGTTTGTTATTGATTTATGGAATTTGAAGTTCGATGCACAAAAATATTAATAAGTAAGAAAATACATATACATCAATAAAAATTGTGTGATTGCATTTTTTAAAATTTATTTTAAATCAATACGTTTCGGATAACATCCTAGCCTTCATTAAGTGGAATATTGTAAGTAAATAGAATAAAAATAAAAATAATGATGAACTAATTTAAAAAACACAATTTGGCATCCCTAATTAATGAAACACTATTGAACCATGAAGTATTGTATTAAGATGTGCACTACCGGAAAATATATTTTTCCACAAAATGTTGTTTACAACAAACACTCTAACAAACATGTATAAAATTTATTAACTCATCGAAACTGTGTACTGACTGTTCTGATTTTCTGATAGAAAAAAACATTAAAAACGGTAAACAATTTAAAAATATGATTATAGATCATATGAATAATTTAAATCGATTTTTTAACCCTAAATATCCTACACAAAGAAGGTTTGTTGAAGGGTTGCATATTCAATTACATAGCGATAAGGAACTAAATAAAAAAACGACTTTATATCTCTGAACGAAACAAATACATGGTTTTTGAATAGTGTGTCAAAAATTAAAAAAAAAATGACAATTCCATAGTTATTGCCATTCTCACAAATTGTTGAGCACCTGTGCAACCCTTATGACAAGTATATTTATATATATATATATATATATTTTAAAGGAATTACAGTCAGTACACAATTTCGATAACTTGATAAATATTATTCATGTTTATTTACGTGTTTTGTTCTAATGCCTATATATATATATATATATATATATATATATATATATATATATATATATATATATATATTACAATAGTGCACATTTCAATACCATGGTGCAATAGTGTTTTATTAATTAAGGATGCCAAATTGTTAGTGTTTTTAGAGTAGTTTATTATATTTATTTTTAAACTATTACAAATTATTTACTTAGTTTAATTATTATAATTGATAGAATATTCCACTGAATTCCACTGAAGAAAAACCATTCATAATTTTTTTTATTGATGTAACGCCCGATGTTTAAACCAAAATATATAACATATATAACATGCATATATATATATATATATATATATATATATATATATATATATATAATATGCATGTATATGACCTAATAGATGGCAAAAGCCGAGTATAACAATTTATACGTACACATTTTTTATGCAAAGCAAATAATGCGTTTATGAAGCATAACAGCTATATAATATACGTATATATATATATATATATATATATATATATATATATATATGTTTCATTTGAGTTTAATAATCGGGCGTAACATCAATAAAAATATTTAAAATTCAATAAAATTATTTTTATTGATGTTACGCCCGATTATTAAACTCAAATTAAACATATATATCAACATCAAATTCAAGACTATTCAAAAAAAAAAATATATATATATATATATACATATATTATATATTATGTTTTATATTCGTATTATTCACACATGACTAAACTCACTTTATTTGCGATGTAGTTAATGAACTCATAACTACAACTATCCAGACCAAATCCTATGCACAAAGATAAAATGCACGACAAAAAATTGTTTCATCAATATTACCACCTTCGTTATAAATTATTCACATTCTACATAACAAACATAAGTTCAAAATAAATTTCATTCTAAGACCACAAGAGAGTATTATCGATCCGCCATTACGTTGCAGATAATTTTACAGCTAGCGAGCAGCGGCTTGCCATCTCCATTCAATGTTGTTCGCACCAACACAGAACGAGCGCAGCTAGTTACGTACAGAAAAGTGCACACGTACGCAATCTGTGTTGTGCGGACAAGGTTGGCAAGAGAAAATCATAAAATAAAGAAAACACAGTTGAGCGCGGGTCAACATCGACATCAGCACGACCATTTTTTTCACATATATTCTTATAATTAGATTTTGCAAAAAAAAATTTAGAGAACTCGTTAAAAGGAAGTAGCACCCAATGCATATTAGCATTCCCATACAATGCATTATTATTCTATTCCTTTTAATTTAATATATTGCAAACACAAAACACCTATATTGAGAAACACTTTGCTTAAGTGTCAGTTGTGTTTAAGTGTCAACACTCGACAAGTTATACTTTTATACACTCATATCAAATTTGAATTTGAAACGAAATTGATTTAATACATTTATCATAAAAACAATCATCCGTTTCAACTCTGCATGTAAAAACTCGTAATGTATTTAATGGACGCGCAAAAGATGAAAAGATAATCACGAAGCAATAGTTCCAAAGCAATCTATTAACACATTAGGAATTCCATCATTTTCACTATTTAGAAGAATATTCTACAGAAATTTCTTTTGATAAAAGCTGCATTTACTAATATTTTTTGTTGCCGGTATACAGGAATTTGTATTATACTAACGACAAAAAATAATTTGCCATCAACGGGATCACAATATAAAGTTGAATATAAGCAAATAAGAGTATATTTGCTTATATTCTTTTATCTATGAATATAAGTTCCCAAATTGATTTGTTTTTTCAAGGATTTCGCAAGCCCAAAACACTATATTTGAAGTAAATTAAATAAATCTCTGAATCTCAAGGAAATGTGAATGCCATAATTTTAAATCGTTATTGGTATTGTTTTAAATTATTTAACTACTATCACGTAAATTCAAATTTGCTTAAATTTTGTGGTAGCTCTATGTCATCCATGTTTTTTCATTTATGGTCGCATTTTTGTCCAAAATTTAATTTTTACTAAATTATACAGTTAAAAAGATAGCGGCTTACGGGGCGAAAAATAAAATTTATAAAACATGTCAATAAGTTTTAAAACTTCATCAACGAATCTTTTAGTTTGTAATACACAACTACAAATAATTGAAGCACCTTTCGAAGAAATTTGTTCATGAATCAAAGAATCGATATGGATATGCAAGAAAAGGTGCTTCACTTGGCTTAATTTATCAGTCAAATTTAGTAGTTATCCGATATTACCGAAATGATAGCACTTTAGTACAACAAGCAGTTTGTCTGGCACACCTCGTATCGTGTTATTTCAATGCTAAAAAATATAATTCGCTTTATTATTATAATCGTTTAATTGTTCATGTACTTCACTACTAACACCAATGTTTTTAACTGAACATTTATAGACTAACGCTTATCACGAAACCCTGTTATATAAAAGTTGAACTGCTGGAACTTACGACAATCTGGGGTCATAAGTAAAGAGAAAGGTAAAACATGAAAAGAAAATTTTCATGTGGAAAAAATATAGATATATCCTATCATATTTAGAAATCTCAGTTATATTCTATGTTGGCATAAGTATATTGAAATGATCAAACGCAACTAATTTTGATACAAAATTTGTCATTCAAATGAAAGCATAATATTCAGCCCAACAAAACAAAGCGATAGTAATTGTAATTTCATATATAAACAAAGTTCAAATATAATAATGTCTTTTATGATATATTAATATCGTGAGCGCTGTCAACGGATTGCTTTCGCCTTTATATGCATGTAGACAAATATTTGTAATAGGACACCACACACAATATATGATTGATCATTGCAATATATGGTATTCCCAATGAAAAACCAAGAATATCACATTAATTTTGTTGATTATAATCGAGAAGATAATATTAAACGTGTTTTAATATATCTATATCGCCTTAATTCTATATAACGTAGAAAGGATGTAATCGCCATTTTGTGTATCTGTACATTGCACGAAGGTACTTGAGTCTCCAAACAAAGTTGTATCCAAAACAATTACATAATTTTCTGAAGTTTAATAAATTTTTGAAACATACCCACAAAGGAGACTTCCAAAATAAATAAAAGCACACCACGTAACGGGAACACTATAATCACAGGCTATTATGATAAAATAAACTCACAAACACACAATCACAACTTACGACCTAATCATAGGACCATAGAGAAGATATTTCATGCGCACTTTGTCGACGAGATACTTCCTCAAACTCCACTGAAACTGAAATTGCGCACGCCATTCCCGCGCAATTCAAACGCAATAAATTTTTGAAACTTGTATTGTATTTGTATTTGTATTGTATTTTTCTAAAGGGGATTTATATAAACAAATTGTACTTATCTATTATTTTTTAAAATGACGACATAATTTTCCTATTTTTATTTTAAACAACAAATATTGCCACTTTATGTAGCCACATATGAATTAGTTGCCATTGCACTATGTTGAACTACTAATAATAAATCAATTAGCGCAAATAATCCTGTACATTTACTTCTTAATTTAATGAGTGAATTAAGCCATTGATGGATTGAAACAATCCCATTTTTTCATTTTTTTGGATAATTTTTTATGGTAAATAATAAATTGTTAATAGTTAATTTTAAGTATGTTAATTCCTGTACATCATTTTAATAAAAGTAAACAAAATTTAATAAAACATGTTATTGTCAAATATATTTCAAATTTATTTATAACAATGCTGAAAATTACCATTTCGTCATATCAAAATTCTCAACCAAATCTTGCTCATTTGATTCAATAGTATCATCAATGTTATCCTGTGGTACAATCTTTGGCTTTTTGGTCTGTTTTTTATTCTTCTTAGGTTTTTCAGAATTATCAGCTTTATTTTTAAATATATTAATTTCTTCATCCTCGCTATCCGATGGGAATAATTCAGCTGGACCTCTTTCAATTTTTCTTTTAGTTTTATTTATTTTGGGAAAACTGTATTCAGCTATTTCTTCATTGTTAGTATATTTTTTCTTCTTTTGAATTTCATTTACCTTGCTCCATTCTTGATAGTATATTAGAAGTGGTAAACCCTTACCACAAATCTGTGTTTCCCAGCTATTAATTATTTGCTTATTATTTAAGTCCAAAGTTATTTTTGAACGCTCATTATCTATCACTTTAGAATTTTCAATAACTTTGTCAAGCAAATGCTTTAATTGTTTGCAGTATTTGGCTATATGACACCTCTTTAAAAAATCTTTAGCCTGCAAAGATATTTTAGATTATTATATAATAAAAAAAAATATTATGCCCAACAAAAAGTATGTGCACTAACCTGCATAACAAAAGGAACAATAAAATCAGGAAAAGCAATTGATTGGGCCTCATTTGTTAGAGTCTCGAAAAGCAATTTATAAATACTGTCAAACACTGCATCCTTGAAACCATTTTCCATCATTTGAGATTTGGATGCACGTAAAATACATGTAAATTGCATTGGTTTCAAAGAAACTTTTTTATGCTTCTGATTAAAATCATATGCAGCCAACACCTTTAAAAAAAATAGCGAAAATTATTAAAAATAATTAACCAATTTAAACTTAGTTAAAATAATAACTTACCTCTAATATTAATGGTAAAATAGGTATATATAATCCAGTATTCTTTGACAAACTATTCAAAATTTGAAGACAATGAAACCTCAAAGGATAATATTGCGAAGTAGGAACTAGTTTGATTGCATTAATAACAATCATAACCAGAGGATATATCAAAGGTTGAAGTTGAGGTTTATTATGAGTGAAAGACAATAAATCTGCCCAGAGATGTATTGAACCTACATACTGCCAATTATATACGGTTTGTATATTTTCTTTTTTATGTAATGTGATAGCATTTCTCAGGTGTATAGCTAGTTGCCTGATGTATAAAAACACATGAGGGTAAGAAATGTTCAGATCTAGTGCATACATTTCCATTAAAGATCTTCTCATAAAATTAATATTAGGAAGTGTGGTGGGACTAACAAATTTGCAATTTTTTACATAAGTGATATACATAGATTTTAATACAGTATCTAATAAAGACGCTTGTTGCTGTCTTGTAATTCTCAAAATGCAAATGAATGCCAAAACTCTGACAGTTTCTTCTGAAGTAGCCCAAATACCAATCAGTTTTTTTAAAATTTGTTTTGAAACATTTAAGAACGAGGAGAGAAATATTTGCATTTGATGTAGATGTTTTAACAAAACAGCTAGAATATTTGGTGAAGTGATTCCCTCAAGCAACTGAAATTCAAATCAACATTATTGTAATATTAGTTTCATAATTATATTTTGAATATTATTATCTGTATATTATGTAAGACACAAAAAAAGACATGCATGCATAACACTTTAATTACAGAAATATTTAAAAAATTAACTAACTGGTAAATATTACCTTAAGGAGATCTATAAAATATCCTTTTATTAAAGTTTTAACTTTAACCCATCTTTTGCACTTGTGAGGTTTTTGAGAAGTAGTCATTTTCAAAAATTGTGCAATTGCTGGCTGAAGATTAAGAACACATAATTGTATTACAGCATTGAATACACCGGAACCTAAAAATACAATTGTGTAACAAATGATAACATTAGAGTTGTACAAAATCTATATAACTGCTACAAAATTCATGTTATTACCATCTATTCTTAAATTCGACTTTTGCGCTTCCTCATTAGAAATACATAGCAATGCAGCATTAAATGCTTTCATGGTATTTTCGAGTACATTTATGGAAACTTTGGGCTGTTGCAATTCTTCATGCCATTTCTTAACCATTTGCAAAGTTATTGTACCACTGGTGGGAAGATCATCAGAATGCTATGTATTTTACAACATGATTCATTATTATAAAGCTCAAATATAGTTAATTGTAAACCAAAAACAATACCTCAAAGTCACTTTCATCGCTTGCTCCTTCGAGTTCTGCGTTGGGTTGATGTATACTACCGTCTGAGTCATTATCATCTTCATCTTGCTCATTATCAGAAACGTCAAAATCTAAAAGACTTTGATCATTTTCTTGCAAGAACTGGTAAAAATCCGGATCAGTACTTCTTAATCGTTCTAAAGACTTTGCATGAGATACATCATCACAACCATCACTTTCTGAAAACGACCATTTAATTAGTTAAAAATATATATTTCGACAAATATGTATTAAATTACGTGAATCTGTTTCGCTTTGTGCGACCGTCGATTTTTTCCTTGTATTAGGTGTATTAGGCAAAACCTTTAATTCGTCATGAGAATCTTGGTTTTCGTCAATGACATTATTTATAAAATCATTAGCAGACATCGAAGAAAATTTTGCATTTGAAGTTTTCTTTGTTTTCACTTTCTTCTGCATTACTTTAGGTTCCTTTAAGCCTACGGCTTTTCTATTTTTTTTTACTTTTGTCATATTTAGAGCATACATATAACACAACTAAACATAACCAAAAACTTTAACTCCACGTGACAGTCTTAAAACATGTATAATGATGACAAAAACATGAAGTTAGTGAATTTTAAAATAATATACTCTTGCCAACTGTATCAAAACAAACAACTATATATAACAGAAGTTTTTATACGAAATTATCAAAAAAAAATCTTAAACATACGTTTTAGAGAATGTTCAAATATATATCTTCAAATTATTTACAAACATTAACCAGTAAAATATTCTACCTAGAACATACGACAGCTGTTTGATGTCTGCAATTACATGAAAAATAATTGGTTTAATATAAATAAATAAGATAAGCCATAATTTTGAAACAATAATATATTTGTAGTTCATAAGTTCAATTATTGATAATATTCCAGGGTTCAATTTATTTATGAATATGTACAAAACAAAAATAACAACTGTATAGTTTTAAAAGTGTTTTGAATTTATTGTTTTTGTTTGTTTTGTTTGTTATTATTTAAACTTATAACTGATAATTTTTCTTCCAGAGTTATTCTCGTATTACCACTACTAGTACTGTTTAAATTTTGGAAACTTTTTTTACGGAAATCTTCATTTTGACTGAAAGTCAAAATGTCAGTAATAGCTCCCGCTAGAATTTTGTGGTTTTTAATTATTTCTATCGCGCTAAAGGAGGGTAAAATAACATTTAAGGTTGTATTCGGATATATTTTTCGCAAATTTGACACGGTGTTCTCCAAATATTTAATTAGATAGTTCTTTTCATCTGCACTTAAATTAATTTTTAACACAAGTCCTTGATATATCGTATCAAATTCTTTGAAGTCCTGAAACATTTCAGCATTATGTGTATTAGTTACTGCGTCAGGCTTATGATATATTGGTAACATATTGATCGTTTTATCAACACTGTAAATATGGATTTCAGTATTTGTTTTTGACATAACCTTTCTTTTAAAATCATTGATTTGGAAATCCTTTATCCAACTCCCCCGAGCAAGCACTACAAAATAAAGAATTTTGCATGAATTTAGTTCGATAGCAAAGAACATGTCAGAAAATGAAGCGCACTTATCACTTCTCCGGATGGTTTGTTTTCAGTGCACCTAAGTTGCGTTGTTATAGCTACATTTTCAGAATATTGGGCATTTGATAATATAACCTCTATAATATATTTTATTGAATCATGTAATAATTGTAAAATTAACATTATATTATGATACAAAGATACAAAACAAGAAGCTTAGTTTGGTCACCACAATAAAATTCAAGTTGCAGTTCCTTTTACTTTAGATATCAACCAGGCAAAACAATTTGATACCAACTGTAAATGATTAAAAAAATGCACTTGCAGCACCGTACATGTGATGGAAATGAAACTTCTTCAGTGTGAAAAAAAGAAAATTTTAAGACATCGCTTAAAAAAATTAAGGCAATACAATTTTTTTATAAACAGAGAAAAATCTGTCTATTTTTAAAATCTAACGGTTCAATTGGAAAAATTGATATTAATAATGGTGATAACAAAAATTCCAAATATGGTAGGTCTATGTATCTAGATTAATGATGAGCTTATATCTTTTATGTAGTATATATCGAGCTCTAAATGTAGTTTATGTATAAATATTCTAAATATCTATACTTTATATAAAAATCATACATTTTTTATGTATCACATATGATTATCATATTTCTTTCAATATTATCACAAATTATTTATTATTTAAAAATACATAAATTAAAATCGTCAACTGAATTTAAATTGATGTGAATCATCTTATAAATTCAACTAAATTACATTGAAAATATATATATATATTAAAACATAAAATAACAATACTAAACTGAAATTCAATGAAGGCACCAGTCATGCAGTATATATATATATATATATATATATATATATAAAATATATATATATATATATAAAATATATATATATATATATATAAATAATATATATATATATATATATATATATATATATATATATATAAAATACACAAACTCATAATATCACATTTTCGTCCTTGATATACAGCACTTTTGTACATTCAAATATATAATATCCTTAAGGTCTTGATGATCGACTTTATTAGGCACATAATATTATTTTACCCTTCATTCTCTTCATCTCATACTGAAACATTATTTGAACATAAATTTAATATATTTGATATTCCATTCATACGATTCATGAGATTCACTTAGCTTTCTATCAAAAATTCTTTAATTTTAAGTTATATAACATTTTACAGTATTTGTAAACAAATCTAAAACGATGAGAATTTGAAGCTCGGTAGAAAACTGAGTAAACCATAATATAGAATAAAATACCTTTTTAGTCGTTTATCGTTTCATATGATTCATGAACGGGCCTATAATGTCCAAAGGCAAAGGAAATATTATAGTCGAGTTCTTTTCGGCTGATATTGTACTTAACGTCTGCAGGTATCTCAGCTAACAATATCAAACAATGTTATATAAAATATAGCTACACAAAAATATCGATATATATATATATATATATATATATACAGGGCCGGTCCTGGGGTCCTCAGCGCCCGCATGCAAGATTTGTTCTAGACCCCCCCCCCCCCAACAATTTTAACTGTTTTAACATTTATCTTTAAAATTATATGAATATTTACATAAATTCACACAAAAAATTAGAAATATTCTAAAAGCGTAAAAAATACATTGATTTTAATTTTATTTAGAAAATTGAAGCGATTTGCTGGTTGATCATAATTAAATATTTTATATTTTCAAGTATTTCTAACATATATGTAATATTAATATTTGGGTTTTGAAACATTTCACTTATTTCATTAAACTCATTTTTATTTTCAAACATAACATTCATTTTTCATGTTAGATTTTTAAAATTCATTTTAATTTTTTTTCATTATTTACAATATCCAAAACTGCATCAGTAACTTATTAATATTGTAAAGCCAAATTGTATTCATGTTTACTTTCCCATCTGATTCAGAATATCATATTGTGGTTTAAAATTTTTAAATTTTTAACGTATTTTGAAAGATGCAAAGAAATTACATATTTCCTGAACTATATCGAAAACAAAACACAATTATATTTGTATCTGTATTATTTCTGCTTAGTTAATAATTAAATTTAGTATGGACACCACTAGATATAAAAAAGCTCACGAGTTTTGTTTCTAAGTACATTTTGCTTCCATTTTTCATATTTGCTCCATTTCCATAAACCTAACCATGTCTTTAAAGTTCAAAGTTAATCAGATGCGAAACATTTTCAACAAATACAAAAGTTACAATTGAGTTTCTCGGTCTTATAGTCATTTTCTATGCACTGACTTCCCATTTTCCATTTTTCTCTATTATAATTTGTATCTATTTTTTTAACAAGTTCCGTTCAAAATAAATCACCTCGCAATTTTTCATCAATAATGCCGAATAATTTAAACTTTCGTAGGTTTGCGCTTACGGTATTGAACACTAGATAATTTCTTTTTCAATTCCACATTAACTTCGATCGAAGAAAAAATTAATGAGTTCATTAAATAATAAGCAGAACAATAATTTTCTAATTTGCATGAGTAATTAATTGTTAAAATATCACATTGCAAACTGAATATGCTTTCTGTTTCTACATATCCATAGTTAAGTTAGATTGTTTATTATAATCTGTTAAGTATTCTAGATTTTATATTTTAAAAAAATACGAATAATATATTATAAATTTCATTTTCGAATCTCGTTTTTGCGCCCCCTAACGCGTGCGCCCGCACTTTTTGCATGCATCGCATGCAAGGCAGGACCGGCCCTGTATATATATATAATGAATTATTTATTGTATTACTACATTATCTTACTTGCAAAGCCGCAGGACTATCAGCCATTACTTCAGCAGCTTCACGAAGCGCTCGTGAAGATTTCATCTCACCTTCGGCTGCGATCACCTTCGCTCGTGCTTCCCTGGCTGCTTCTGCTTCCGCTGCCATCGCTCTTTGCAGTTGCGTCGGGAGCGAGACATCCTTTCTATATGACATAATGTAATTGCAATTCATTTATTATGTATCTTTCTCTAGTCTTAAAATTTACAATTAAAACATAACTAGCATGGCATCGTGCCTCAAGGCAAATTGCTGGAACTTTCCGTACCGTAATTAAAAATCTTGTACGGAACCTAAAAAATTTACACATTATTAAAATCTCTATAAAATATCTGATAATTTGATGTACATATGTCCAATAAACACTTTTGACCGACAATTGAAATTTTTTAACTTATTTTCCGACGGCAAAAGTTCAACAATATGTCTCTGAATTTGAAAAGTGGCTCAATAAGTGGAAGATTAAAATAAATGAAACAAAATCTAGCCATATAACCTTCACAACAAGAACCCTAGACTGCCCAAGCGTAAAAATAAACAACATAGAAATACCGAAATATGAGAGTGTAAAATACCTTGGGATTCATCTCGATAGAAAATTAAGCTGGTCAACGCACATCAAAATGAAAAGAAAACAGATAGAGAAGAAGTTCAAAGAGTTGTATTGGCTAATTGGCAGGAGTTCAAATATGTGCTATGAAAACAAACTCCTTATATATAAAACAATAATTATCCCAATCTGGACATACGGCATTGAGCTATGGGCGTGCGCAAGCAATTCAAATATAAAAAAAATACAAGTAGCGCAATCAAAAATTTTAAGATGCATTGTGAACGCACCCTGGTATGTTACAAATGACACCCTACATAAAGACTTAAAAATAAAAACTATTAATGAAATGTTAAAAGAAAGGAGCAAAAGATACCATGAAAAACTACCAGGTCACCCAAACACTTATTTAAAAGAGTTAAGCGAGGAATATCCGACACGCAGAGTGAAAAAAAAATGGCCATTCGACCTTAAATAAATGTCAAAAATAAAAATATAAAAGAGAGATATCTCATAGGAGATAATCTCTTACATGCATTAAAACCAACATCACATTGTCTTAAAAAATGTATTTAATTTTGATTGACAATAAAAGTATGCAAAAAAAAGAAAAAAAAAATTTTCATTGAAAGTCCATAACCGCTGGATCTGCCTTCCCAAAAATTTAATCAGTTCTTCATCTTGTCAATACTAGTAGTCTTTTTTAAATTATTAAAATCGGACGCTCCGTTCTCTTAAAAGCTGAATTACCGTTTTTGGCACTTTTTGCGTATCTTCGGAACGGCTGCACCTGTCTTCGCCAAAAACCAATCAGCACGTCTTCTTATCAATACGAATCGAATGTTTTTTGAATTATACAAATCGGTTGATCGTTGTTCCCGAAATCGTCGACAAAATTTTGTAACCGCACACACAAACACATATGTTATGAATTATAACATTCTAGATCCTCCCCCCACGAGGTAATGCCTAACGGCGGTTTCCGTAGAAATCAGAGGCAAGGGCAAAGCGGAGGTTTTAGTCGGTATTATATCAGGGCGGTATGGAGCTCGACATACCCAGACAAAACACCAGTCTGGGATGCATAAAAGCATTTCCTTCGCTATACAAAAAAAACATACACACACATATTCATTTTTTCTAAGGTATGCCAAAATGTTCACAAACCTCTAAAACGTAAAGATATATTAAAATTTTCATTTTCGATTTCTTTGCGATTACTATAACTTACCCTGCGGGAAGTTAATAAGACTTTTTTAAGAATATTGTTAATTCTATGTAATAGTAATGTTGCTTCACGCACATTTCTACCCTCTCGACCTTAACGCCCCATGGATCTGTGGCTTCATCCAAAGCAGCCTGCATGGCATTTGATATGGCTTCTCGTTCAGAAAGCAGTTCGGATAAATTTCGTGTTCCCAATACATTGCGCAATGTAGTAGCAGCTAGCAAACGCGTAGAATGACTATAATTTGCCACCTGTAAGGTAATAAGCTGATGAACAATTTTTTAAACTTTATAACAACAAGAAATATATCTCTTAAACATTTGGGGATAAATGGATACCATTTCATATTTTTATTAACCTGATATGTTAGGAACGTGCCGAGTTAAATGTAATTGATACAATTTTGATTGCAATTCTTTGATCTAAAATAGACCTAATGTTCAAGTTCAATTGTCGCGATTCAATATCAATACTATTCGAGAACATTGCACCACAGCAATAATCGTATACTCGTATAACCTTTTAGAAGAGCAATAATTAAAGCTAAATTCAATAACATTTTAATGGTCAAAAAAGGGCTTTCATGATATAATTCATAAAGTTTATCATATTTATTTAGCCGTGAAAAAATTTCATAATGTGCGTAAAACAGATAAATAGTCGTAGAATGTATATCTAAAAATAAATTGAGAAAAAACTTAATGAACGGCAAAGGAGCAATTGTATAAACATGTATCACCATACAATTACTGGCAGGTCTAGAAATAAATTTTTCATATAGAATAACACAAGTCATTCTTATTTCTTATTAGTCCAGTCATTTAAGCTTAAATTAGGTAAGAATCTCGGAATTCGGGATACTCAGCTGTAAGTCTGTAAATACTTGTATATGGACACCCTAAAAGTTGTCTTAAAACCTACATATAGTAGGGTGTTTTTACTATATGTAGGTTTTGAGACAACTTTTAGGGTGTCAATATACAAGTATTTACAGACTTACTGCTGAGTATCTCGAATTCCGAAGTGAACTTACTATAATGACTAGACTATAGTTACTGAATTATATGATACAAATTTTCACATGCTCTAACACCCAAAACGTAATTAAATTTTAATTAACGATCAGAAGATAAAAAAGGCTATGGATAGAATAAAATTTTAAAAGTACGATTTAAAATTAACACTAACGCATATATAACTATACGAAGCATAAATACCTTGACTACAGCATTTAGCGGTTCATTAATTCTGTAATAGACGACAGCGTCGACTGACACGGTAACAGAATCCTTAGAAAGCACCTTGAAAGCAATCGAAATATTATTGCATTTTTTTACCTAATTAATCTAAATATAATTAACAAACTTATGTATTGAAATATTTAATCTATAGTGAATATAATATCTCTTCCATAAACCCTTTTGAAGTTTTGAAGAATGTTATAATTACAATTTTAACACGTCGGAAGCCACGTGCGCGCGAATTTGTGATATTATACGATTATAAAAACAGGAATAAAGGGCTATGAAAGTTTTTTTCTATTTAATAATTATGTCCAATGTGAACAACAATCACTTCCAAATATTAAATTACCAAGATTTTTTACTCAACTATTGTACTCAATTTAGGAAACTTAGAACATCTTGCGAACTGCGAATGAATATAGTGAAAATATAGCTGCAGGTATAAAAGTTTATAATATAAAACGATATACAAAAAATTATATACTTAATATATGTATTTAATAAGTAATATACTCAGTCAAATAATTTAACACTTTCTGCCAAGCATCAATTCAAAAACAATCTACCAGCATCTAGGCGCTACATTTTGACGAAAACGTGCCTGCTGTAAACTTGAAATTATTATGTATGTTGTGCAATTTGTTTAATTAGAATTGAACATAGTTAAGTTTTTACAATTACTTGGCGTCGTTACAGTTTTTTTCATCATTCCACCATCTTTTATACATGTCTCTTTCTCTTTTGATGAATTTACTAATCGCTGATTATTTAATATAAAATATTATTTAATAAAAAATGTTAAAAATTACTTGCAAAATATAATGGTAAATTTCGCACAGACAACACTTTCTTAACACTGCATAGCACAGAAAAAATATTTTAGGAATGAGCAACCTTTTTAACTTTAATTTTAAAAATTTTATGGCGGGCCGCACTCATTAATAATTTACAAAACTTGATATATACTAATAAATATTAAAATATAAAAATATTACATTCCAAAATGTAAATATTTCATAAATTAATGAAACAAGAAAAAAATAAGTTCATGAAATTCTACTTTAGAAATGCTTGGCCGCAGAAAATGTTTAAAGGACCGCATAAAGTCCAAGAGGACAGCCAGACGCAGATGATTAAATTTTCGGTTTTTATGTTGAAAACTTATTAAATAATTAAGAAACCAAAATTTTAGTTTATCTTGCAAAAGGGGTTGCCACAAGCAGATATTTGACTTTTTCTTGGATGGGATTATGGGTACTCGTAACATATAATATTATGTTTTACACAGTTCATTCAAAATGCTTTTAGAAAATCACGCTATGTATGTATTTGTTGTTGTTGGAATAAAACAATTACTATTAATATCATTGTAAAATAACAATTTACCTCTTGTGGAGGAACATCAAATGAAACAGTCCTTAGATCAACTTTGCAGTATTCATCAATACACGGCAGAACAAAAAATATGCCTGGTCCTCTAGCTTCACCTGATCTAATAGTTAATATTATTAATTTAATCCATATTTATTCTTAAAATCAATAAAATAAACAATGTATATGGAATTATCACAAAAAATAAATTTACATATTTTTAATAATTATTATTGGATGAATTTATGTTGCCTTGGGCTTATCTATATCACGATTATCTACATTGCTTACAAAAAAAAGTTTTAACTAAAAAGTTTTCGATGTTTAACAATTAAAACATGAATAAGTTATTTTTGCCCAAGCACAAAAATATATCTACTCACTGAAATTGGATACTATAATCTAAATATATTCTGAAAGCTGTGTTCATATTTCACAAACCAAACAAGAAATATTAATGCTTTCCAAAACTTTTAATGGATTGATAAGTTTGATTTACTAATAGACCGTCAATGGGATTTGACTTCTAATAATAACATGTTGTGTAATGAACATTGATGCAACGTTATTGAGTTTTAATAGTTGATTTAGTATTTATATACACACATTGTAGAATGTAAACATTTATATATATATATATATATATATATATATATGTGTGTGTGTGTGTATGTGATCTTGATTGTTTTTTCGGCGTTGAGACATATTTGATATATTCGTGGAATTAAAAAATAGAACAATATTTCCACTTTCCACTATCCACTTATTTATTCAAAGACTTTCGACACTTGATATGCGTCATCATTAAGCAAATAAAACCAGGAAAAACCAAACACAAAATTTAAAAATAATATCAAATTTTGTTAAGACAACAAACAGTTCAAGTTGAGTAATAATAATCATCACCATTTATTACAAAAAAATTAAATGACATCTTTCTTATTTTCAACCTCCCGTAGGGTAAATAAAACTTCCCCTAAAAAATGGATGCATGTGTGTCTGTAGTATACATACAGTATGGATACAAATTTTTGTCAACCGATTCAATGATGCAAAATTTGTTTCTTATTTATGAAAACATTTTACTGGTATTGACGAAATAAATAATTGATTGAATTTTTGGGAAGGCATGTCCAGCGTTTTCTGAGATCCAGAAAAAAAGTAAAAAAATGCCGTATCGGTTATAAATGATCATCACTCATTAGAAATGAATCAAAAATTTCAAGATTCTATAGTAGTATTTATAATTTATAAAAAATATTTAAAATTTTTAAATAATAATATAATTTTGTGCTTTGTTTTGCCAATGCTTGCACTAACCTTAGTCTTCCAAGTCGAAATATTACAGCCCTTTCGTATTCTTGAACTACTTTGAAACAGAAAAATATGGATACAGGAAAAGTGACCACCAATATGAATACGGATCCTATTGTTGCCAGAATTTCCACACATCCCATGCCTGCATCAGATTCGGCTGAAAATTAACCATTCGTATTTCGTTACATTTTTTTCCTTTCAACAGTATTTTCATTTTTCATTAAAAACTACTTAGAATATATTTGCTAAAGGCATATTTCGTTATAAAATAATGCAAATTACTAAAATTATTAGAATTAACGCGATAGTGTTCACAGTTTGGTTTTATCTTTTCTTTTTTGGTTATAAGTCCAAAAACAGTTTATTTGTTATTTAATATATTTATGTTCATGAAAGCTCGCAATCTATTACTAAGAAAGCTTTTATAACAAAATCACGTTGAAATACGTTATTGCAACGTGATTTTGTTCTAGAAGCTTTCTTTCTTTCCGGTTGTTGTGCTGGATTCAGTTTTTTTCTTCGCTATTACTTGTAAATAAAGATTCAGATTGAGTCTACGCTATTACTTGTAAAAAAGTTACAAAAACTTATCGAATATCTGAAAATGATATAAATGAAAAAAAACTGCCGAATCTAAAAATCTAAATCTAAATCTTCCATTTGCGAAATTTGTAAAAAAAATACAAAAACAAAATTTCTGAATGCCTAGCATAAATACTTTAGACAACTAACTCAGCTTGAAACAGGAACATTTTACTAAAGTTCATAATAATTTAGAACTATCATTCACGAAATTTGCAAAAATTAGCAAAGTGACAAATCTCGGCTTGAAACAGGCACAAAAAGCGATACTTTTCAATAAAGATAATTATGAAGAAAATTGTACAGAATATTATACATGGCTTAAAATGAAAAAACATAGATCAAAAAAATATAAAATGTTATCAGCAATTAAATGATTTTTTGTTGCATCCTTAAAAAGTATTTGTTATTTTATGTTATATTTATGTTATTTATAATAAGAACCACGTTTTGGATATGTATTTTACCATCCCAGTTTTCATAAAAAATAAATTTGATCACCTTACAAATCCCGTTAGTTAAAATGTGTTTACGATTAAAAATATAAACCGTTAAAATCTGTTTATAATTGAATATTGGCAAATGCGCAAGCATATATTTCCGGATTACTAAACAAAAAAATAATCATCAGAAATCAAATTTCAATTTATACTCTATTCATACTTTTTGTAATTTAATATTATTTTTTTTCGTTAAGAGTATTCAAGTAAATACAATTAGAAGTTCAACTTACATAATCGATATTATTAGCTAAATATTAATATACTTTCAAGATTTTGACTGAAATCACATGTCCTACGCCAACAACCGATTCATTTACCACTGCCATAAACATCGACACGTCTTTGGAAGTTTGCTTTGCAGGCCGTAACAGAACAACATAAACAATATCGAAACACCGATCGTACGGCAAACACACCACAAATATAACATTTGTACACACGTTGTATATACTTACGAACTTCTATATATAATTCAATACCTCCAGAATCAGTTCGCGTACAGTTGAAATCCATTTTTGAACGACGTAAATCTCCGTTAATAAACACTTTTTAGAAAACAATTCCGAGTTAGAATAATTATGAGACAATTAACGACAAAACCATTATTTGATATTTTTTTAGTTGGTTTTTCGCGTCTTTATATTTGCATTACAAAAGTCGCGATCCTGCGATCTTACATGTGGCCGACGGACGCGATATAGCGCAATTTCCAGAAATAAGCCAAGAATGAAATTATATTGCACGTGTGGATCGTGTTCGGGCACAAGTAGCAATCGACCGTTCACTGGTCGATAGAAAACAAGAATAGGCATCCTGTATCCATGTGATGCACGATTGAGCCCTCGCGACGGAAATCAATCTTAGACTCTGGAGATCACAAACTGCTTAGGTATAATTTTTACCACTTCCCATAAAGGTTGTTTTCATTGCTCTTGTAAACAGGAGTCAAAATAATATTATTTTTTTGATCTGTTATGAGATTAAGACAGTGATTTCTAACCTGTGTGGCGCGCCCCCCTGGGGGGCGCAAAGCTGTTTCAAAAATATTATTTTTAAATGCTGAGTAAGTGTTAAAAACAAATCAGCAAAATACTTAAAGTACTTCTAAGAGTGTTTAAGCTCAAAAAAGAAATTGCTATATTTCTGCTGATAACAAAGGAGACGGAGCAATCTTGTTTTAGGACACAAAGTTCCTCGCAAAATTTTCGTATTTCGTTGATATTTTTCAAAGACTTAGCGATTTAAATAAATCAATGCAAGGATCTCAAATTCGTGCTTTTGTTCATAAAGACAAGATTACGGCTTTTATGAAAAAATTAGAACTGTGTATAGCTAGTATCAAATAACTTTATAACTTTAACATGTTTCCCACTTTTAAAATTACTTGTGTTACTGATGAAATAGAAGTAAGTAAAGATCTTCTTATTATATCAGTCATATGACTAGTCTACGAAACCAATTTTCGCATCACTTTATCTAATTACGTCCAAATACGAATGGATTAGAAATCCATTTGTCATTGAGAAACATGATGATTTTGGTCATTCAACAGCAGAGCAGAAAATGATAATTGATTTATCTAGTGATAACACATTGAAGCAGATGTTTCAGGACGAAAATATATTGTTGAGTTTTGGTTACCAGTAAAGGACTATTTTCCTACTTTGACAAATAATGCTTTAGAAATTTTATTACCATTTGTGAGATCTTACTTATGTGAAGCAGAAAATTCTTATAATAAATAGTTATGTTTGTATGTATATTTTTTATAATACTGTGTATTATTTGGTATAATTTCAGTTATATTAAGTATATTTAAATTAAATTGTTAGAAAAATAAGAAGGGGGGGGCGCAATATTTTTTTCATTCGAAAGGGGGGTACAAGAAAGAAAAGGTTGGAAACCGCTGGATTAAGATAATAAGATTAATCCTAACCGCTCGGCACTTATTCAAAAACAATTTACCAGCAACTCAGTGCCGCATTCCGGCGGAAACGTACCTTGTAACCACTGAGTTACCGTTTTTGGCACTTTTTGCCCCGTATCTTTGGAACGGCTATACCTGCCAAAAACTAATGATCACGTCTCATTATCAATACGGATCGAATGCTTTTTAAACTATTTAAATTATTCCACACTGTCGAGGACATTTATTTGAACCATATACGTGAATTTTAAAATTAAAAATCTTGGTTCGGAGCCCCAAAAAATTCACACAAAATGTGTACACATTATTCAAATTTCTATAAAATATCTGATAATTTGATGTACATATGCCCATTTATCATTTTTGACCGCCAAATAACATTTATTTAACTTATTTTTATGGAGAGTTCATAACCATTAGAACCAGTGGTGTTGTGGAGCCGGAACGTCGTTCCGGCAAAAAAATTAAAAAAAAAATTGCTACATACAGAAAGTGATTTAATAAGTGAATTTTATAAATTGCAATTTATTTAATTGTTATTAAACGTTCCTATTATTGTAATAAACAAACATATATGCGCACAAAATGGGTTCTGTAATGATTTTTGTTTCTTTCCTTTCCAAACGGAATAAACATGAGAACCGGTTTTTTAATTTTAGCGTTTCGGCAAAAAAAATATTAGCACAACACCACTGATTAAAACCACCATATATAAGAAGATTGAAAAAGAAGCATCCCTTCGATCTAATGCCTCTATCATTCGTATATGTAGAACTCCAGTACTATTACTGGAGTTCTACTAATCAGCACAATAGCTAATAAAAAAATTTCATTTTCTGATTGCTATTCAATTAATAAAAAAAAATATACTGTATAGTTTCACTTTTTCAAAGAATTATAATGTTAGACTTACTTGTTTGCGGGGCCCTATGGCCTGATACCGTAAGTCTATATATGCAGGCTACAGGACAGCTCATTATAGCGAATTTACATTGTCATCTACCGGAAGACTCGAATTTCTTGTAATAAATTCTTGTCCGATTTTGGTCAACAGTTGTAGCAATTTCATGTAGAACCTGACGTCGATGTCCTTTATCCGCGATAATTTTTGTAATATCTTATTGATTACTTCTTAGCAAATTTGAGAGTCAGAAGACTTGCGTTTTATTATTCGCTTTTTCTCATTTAGAAAACTATACCTATATATTTACTTCTCCTATTTGTTTCTAAGTTTTTTAATTTACTTAATTCTCTGCAATTTAACCACTTATAATTATATATATATATATATATATATATATAAATCGTAAAATGAAAACAAAATTCCAAGAATCTTAAAAAATTGTTTCAACATGATTTGCTATACATAGCCGCGTTAGTTTTAGTTGCGCCTTTCTGCCGCAAACAAACATGCGCTTAAAAGATTGAATTAATTGTTGATTTAGGGCTCCCCCGTGGTCTAATGATTAGAAATATGAATTTCGAATCAGAAGTTTTAAATTCGATACCCGCCACGGACAACCTGATGTCAAGCAGATGTTATATCGGCTTTTACCTGGAAATATAGATGGAAATTTATTCAGTAAAAATAGCACAGCTTTGCTGCATCAATAAAAAAATTATCAATATTACATAAATCGAAATAATAAATTTATAAAGATAAGGTAATCGTTTGGGTTGCTGACTATAAAAAAAGCTAATAAACTCGTTAATTTCTGATTGCTGCTAGTAATAATTAATATACATATACAAATTTTTGATCTAAGACAGCGTAAACGATTATAACAAGTCCCATTAGACAATAAGAATTTAACTTATTAAATCAAATATAACCAAACAAAACGCAGTTTATTTTCGAAAACAACCCGCTTATATATTGTAAAGCCCATTATATTGCAATAATTATATGATATTAGAACAATGTTTTGTATTTGTTCCACAAGTTTTCAACCTTATGGTAATTTAGTTACTGCATGTAATTTATATACTGCACACATAAACCGAAACACATACACATGTAAAGACTTCTTTAAAACACTTATTACAGTAATTTTTGTTCATGTTTGACGCACCATATATTTTAAGTAACCTTACTTACCCTAGTAAAGATTAGCACTCAAAAAAGTAAAACTAATTGAAGTAAAATCAAACTCATCAAGGTTAATCTTCAGCGTACACCATGCAAGAACTAAATTTTTCTAGAAATCTAAATATATCATGTAAAAGAATGTATATATATATATATATATATATATGTATATATATATATATATATATATATATATATATTAAAACAAGTGTGTTCAGTAAAGCAATACCACCAAGTAAAAAAAAAACTGAAACAATTAGGAAAACAGCTTTATTAATTTCCTAATTGCTTTAGTTTTTATTTTACTTGGTGATATTGCCTGACTCAACACACTCGTTTTAATATATCAACACCAAATTTACATACTCCAAAATATATATATATATATATATATATATATACACATACATACATATATACATGTATATTTAAGATATCATCCATATATGTTGATACGTATGCAATAAAAGTGTAAATATTTTGTAAGTCTTTATTATGTATCAAATAACATTAGAATAAGATAATGTTTGATATTGTAAATTTTTCTAACTAGGGATGTTTGCCAAATAATCTTTCACTGTAGAAGCATCTAACCTCATAAATCCATTTTCATTACTAATACCAATCTCAATATTTTCTTCTGTCATTTTGCCTTCAAAACCTTCTTTTAATGTCAAAATGGCAGTGTGGACAGCATCATCTAATTCTAAATCAGAACTATAACGTTTCTCTAAAAATGTTTTTCCATTAATGTGATTTTTGCCCATTGCTGTAGATTTCCAAGCAAAATATGATCCTGATGGATCACACTGAAAAACGTAAGGTTTTCCATCATCCCAACCACAAATTAGGAGTGATACTCCAAAAGGTCGAACTCCTCCTGAATGAGTATATTCTTGCATTACAGTAGATATTCGCTGCACCAATTGCACAGTCGGTATGTGCTCCCCATTCGCCAAATAATATTGCTGGGCCATTCTCCGTGCCTTTTTAACCAATAATCTGTAATCGGGGCCTAAACCAGAATACACCATACCGATGTACTTAGATATTTCTTCAATTTTGTGAATAGTATTCTCTTCATATAGTACCGACTTATGCTTATTTTCTGTTGCTAAAACCACCCCATTGCTTGCTGAAATATTATCACATTTGATGAATTTAGCGTTATCGTAATTAAGTGATATACTACTCAGCTCTTTGTGAGATTTAAAATAATATTTAATAACCTTAAATTTTAAAGTTACAAACCTTTTATGGCAACTGATGGGGCCCCAGCCGCCACTGCAGCGAGAGCATATTCAATTTGCACTAATTTCCCCGAAGGGCTAAAAGTGGTTAACGAAAAACTGTATCTCTCAGATGTCATTATGCACAATCACTAAGCTTTAAGCGTTTAGGAATCACAAACAACTCAGCACTATTCCGGCACGAATTGAAGTTGGCGTTTGAATGCGGTTTGACAGAACAAAACAAAACAACTCTTGCCAACATTAAAATAAAATAATTGTTTCAGCGTATTTCATAGAATTCAAAATTATTGTAAAGTAGAAGCTATTATAAACAAATAATACCGTATTTTATATATATATATATATATATATATAGTGTAAATGAAACAAATATATGTAATTGGGAAATTAATTATGTTTTTGAAGTTAAACTTCTTCAGGTGCGACTAGGGTGTAAATCCGTACAAATGCAACGGAAGTGCGTTACGGACATAAGATAAGAGTCAAGTGCCAATGACTCGTCATTCGTTCTATACAGGTCGATTGTGATAAGTCGTCGCGTATGTGAATAGAGATCTGTCGTTGTATGCGTACTGATATCAACAAGGACATTGGCATAGATGAATAAACATTTTAAAGTTACTTTGTAGTACAAATGTTGATTTAATGAAAAATGCCTGAATCAGAAGAATATTTTACCTGCTCCTTAGAAATTATTTCTATATTATTCATAGTTTCTATAAATCTTTGAAGTTATTGAAATGGAAAATATTTTTTAGGCAAAACATATATTACAGCTGTTCAGAGAATGAGATTATACCGATGGTGAAACAGTAACAAAAATACCATCAGTCAATGAATGCATGTTAATTTTAATTACACAAAGTTCTTCAAACACAATTATTACATGAGTGGAATTGCGAAAGCAATATTTGTTTAGACGTTGTTTAATATAATCCACTGTGTCAACGAATATTATAGAGTTTATTAATCAGCAGTTACTTCATTTCTCTAATGAAGGTTCATTTCTAAATGCTAATTGCAATGACAAACCGATCATGTCATATTTGAAGTATGACTTTAATTACATAATTGTTTTTAAATATTATACATATTTTTATTGCTATTATAAATATATAATTTATAATTTATCATTATATAAATGTGTATAATGGTTGGCACTAATGAATATATGCATCACGAGTGTTACCATATTACTAGTATACATTATTCAATATTGTTATATGATGCATTTATTTTTACTTAAATGCCATCTTGTACAGTGGCAAATAAGTTTTACTTCAATCGCATGTGAACCTTGCACGCACTCTTTTTTTATTATTGTTACTATATTATTACTTTTAGTGATGCCAAACATCACTAAACATTATTAATTAATTAGAAAAATAATTTATTCAACTATGACACAATTGAGGATTATTTTGCGAAAATATTGGAAAACAATGAATTCTGATCAATTTACAGCTCTAAATTATAGCACTTTATTCAAAACAACAATCCCATTATGATCTTAAATGTATGTTAGATTTTATATTTTACTTTGGAAATAACACATGATAAATATTTTCTTCAAATTATTATTGTTTGATACTATCATGTTGTAGTTTTTCAAGTCTTATTGATAGATTTAGCAGATAAATATGACAAGCTATTTATGCAGATAAAATATGGCATTGTGACAAATAAAAATTATTACTTCCTGGATGAAATCAGTGTAACACTTTTATTTTAATCAATATGTTTACTATCTATTATCATATATTAATTTTTTACAACTTTTCTTGCTATCTTATGACTACCTAACTTCTTTTTAAATGGTTTTGCATTCCTCAGGTTATTGAGTATTTTATATTTGACAACTTTTTTCAACTCTCTTCTTGTGTCATTAAAAGTATCTTTGCCACCATTAGAAGAAAATGTTGTAAAGAATTTGATACCCTCTATAATAAATACATTCATTATTATAACTGAATTAGCAATCAATAAAAATGTAACTAACCACTCAGTCTTTGATCGCCTTTTATGAAAAAAAAATTTTCTCTCCATACGCCTGTACTAGAAATGTGGCCAATATCATGATTTATTAATTCCTTTTTTGACTTCAATGTTCCATTAGTTTCTTCTTCAGAGTCGGAAGTATCATATCGAAATGGATTTCTCCGGGAGTCTAAAGGATTGTCCATTTTCTGCTGCACTTTTTGAAACGTACTACCAGCGTTTTTATCTAAATCTACTGCTTCTATTATAATATAATAAAACTACATTATATGTAAATAAAAAGCAAGTATATGTACTTATGTGAACTTATGTAAATAATATATATATATATATATATATATATATATATAAACAAAGTCCAGTAATCAGGCATAACATCAATAAAAAACATGAATTTCTTTGAAATATTTATTTTAAATCCAAATGTTTCGGATATAATCCTAACCTTCATTCAGTGGAAACTAAAAATAAAATTAAAAACTAAAGCAATTGAATTGGAGTGAAAAGAAAAAATAAAAAGAGTAAATAGTACTTACAATTAGTTAATCTTAGAGTTAAATTGGAAGATTTTAATAATCCATGGTCAGGATATGGTAATGCACTACACTATGTATTATAAACATTAAACTTGTAATTACACAACATTTTCACAAAATACTAATTTGAAAAATCGCAAATAGTATTTTATAGTTTTAAATTTTTGAAAGAAATTCATGTTTTTTATCGATATTATGCCCGATTACTAGACTTTGTTAATACATATGTCAACATCAAATTCAGAATCATACAAAATATATATATATATATATATATATATATATATATATATATATATACACCTAAGTCTGTTTTTACACGGAGATTGGTTCCAGAAGAAGCCGTGTAAAAAAAGACATTGATCTTATACAAAAATGGGTGGTTTGTCCTACTCTCTAAAACCTCTTAAAATTAGTGAAAAACAAGAATTTTCAAGAACAAGAATTCATGTTTATTTTAATAATAATTCCCCTAAATTAGTGCTATTCACATTTGCTTTGACCAGTAAAAATTGTTTGTACGCACTAAAGGGGAATTTACTTAAATCTTTAAGCTAGTGTTCGCAAACTATCGATACTATCGATGGTTTCAGACTTTTTTCTTTCATAAATACTTTTTTTTGATATGAACATTCTTCGCAAAAATTAAATTTGACAAAAAAATTTAAGTACATAAAATTTCAAATCGTGCTAAATGGAATAAAATCGTGTAAAAAAATTAAAAATATTCAAATATCAAATCGTGTTATATCAAAACCGTGTACAAAAAGACCGTGTAAAAACAGACTTAGGTGTATATATTTATATATATATATAAACAAAATTCATTACCTTCTTCTAAATCAGCTTTTCCAAACATAGATAATAAACTAAATCCAGTATTTTCTTTAATAGCTTCCTTCAAGTTTTCAGAAACAGAATAGAACTTTTGATTTGATACTAATGGTTCTTTATCATTAGTTGAATTATCATCAATTGCTTTATCATCAATTTCAGATATTACTTTTGAATTTGACTTTGTATTTTTTTCATTTTTATTTAAAAATTTATTATGATCAGGTTTTGATGGATCATATCGAAGCATTGATTTCATCTTGATATCTTTATTAATTTGATCTTTGTTATAATCGATCCTTTTTCCAAGAATGTTTTCTAATATTTCAAATTGATGCTTTTTTTCATTTTCTAAGTTTTCTGTGTCTGGTACATCATTATTTTTTAATTCAGTTGTATCATCTTGCTCCAAAAAGTGAGAATCCATTGTGAAACGTTTATCATAACCAAATGTTGATTGCAGTTTCAATAATTTTTTACCCTCTTTGCCTAGAAATATCATTTTATATAATTCATTATGTTACTATTAGAAGTTCATCTTTTATCAATAAATTAATCCAGCATACAAATCCTACTATTCAAGCGATTCACAGACTGTTAAGAAGACTAAGCAAGAAATGGCCTTCCGATTTACCAAACACCTAGCCCAATGTCTGCACGCGCCCTGACTTAGTACGCGGTATACATCCTCACGTCATAGTTCATTTATGTTATTATTTTTGTATTACTGTTTTTATTTGTAACTTCTTTCATTTTATATTCAATTTATTGTATTTTTTTTGCACATATCAATTTTGTAAGTAAGACATTAAAGTCTTCATTAACAAAAATAAATTATAACAAAAAGAAAAAAATTATGTTATTACTGGTAAATTCATTTGCATTAGTAGTAAAAAATCATATGAGGATTATTTGTTAGAAATTTTGTTCAGATATAAGCATCTTACAATTTTGTTATAGTATGTTAAAGTATCAAAGCAAAGCTTTTAAGCATTTTTTACAAAGTTAACAATATTGAAAATAATTGGTTTTTCAAAATTTGGCTTTTGTTGCTGTCTTTATTTAGCATATAATTTTCAGCAAGTTTTGTTTGACCACATGGAATGATCTGTGTCTTCCAATGCACTATGCCAATGCAATAAGCAAACTGAGTGTATATATGGTTAATTAAAATTGAACATATATATATATATATATATATATATATATATATATACACAATGTAAATACACATACACATAATGTAAATTTTTATATCAAATAGTTAGACAAAATGTATTCATTGGTAAAAACTTTATAATACTGTAATACACCGCTTAACACAGTTTTGTTTAGCGCTGTTTCAGTTTACCGCTCTTTTATTCAAGTCAATCTCTGCAGCAACTAGAATTATCTGTTCTAGAAATAATATGATAGAGGAAATAGAAAAATTATATAGATTGACGACAAAATTGACCGCCATGCCATTAAGCCAATATTCCTCTACTTTGATGGAACGTATTCCCGCATTAAGTGGTATTACTGTATACCTACCTTCAAATTGTTCTTTTAAATCAAATTGGTAATTTTCTTCATCCTCATTTTCATTTTCATCGAATAAAGCAGTCTTCCTTTTTTTTGATTTTCTACTGACAGAACCATTTACATCATTATTATTCTCCATATTATCATCACAAAAAACTATTTTATTCTTTGGAGTTACATCCTAAGGATTCAATAAATAATGAGTATAATTGATCCACCCAAATAATGTAACATATACAATACAACTACATTGAATTACAATTTTTAGAAAACTTTTCTGCAAAAGCATTTTTTGCTTGTTATACTGTTCCTTTTTCTCTTGCAAGGATTGTATTCTTTTTTGTTCGGCGAGCGTAGACTGTGGTGTTAAATTTTTCTTATGAGGCACATTGTTCTGTGAAACTATTGCCGGGCCATATGTAGGAATTTTTAATTTCTATAAAAAATTGGAATCAAATGTAAAATAACATATTATTTACATGTAAAATTATGTGATTACCTCTGGGTTCAAAAATGAGTTATGCTTATTAGATTTAATAATGAAACTATTGTCATCAACAGGATCATCAACAGAATCAACAGTTTTCTTATCATTTCTAGGTTTTTCACTTTTTCCCTAATAAAAAATATAATATAAATAAAAGACAGTATTAACAGATTAAGTAAAAGATTATATATGTAGGTATAATACTTGTTCTGGTTCTGAATCTGAAGAACTGCTAGAACTTTCTGAGCTTTCACTATCTTGTCCCTCTTTTACTATGGTAGTTTTATTTTGTTTTACTGGTACAGGCAGTGTTTTTGAAAGTTGCTGGATGGGTTGCTCAATAATTTCATCATTTTTTTCTATACTTTTATTCAATTTTTTACTCAACAATTTCGCTTCCAATCTTTCTCGTTGAAGCTGTTCAAGAAAACTTTCTTTGGCTAAAGCGACTTTAAGAAATTTTCCTTTCCACTCTTGTTCTGAAAATTCTTGTATACCTAGACAATTTTAAAAACAAAACATATAAAATCATGTTGAAAATAACGAAAAATTATAGAAGGGGACATATCTAACATTTATTTAAACTCCACGTATCTATATCCATATTTATAAAAGCAAAAGTGTTGGCTTGGCCTTCATTCAAATTATCTTTTTTCTGCTTAATTTCAACATTTGTCACATTTCCATAAGCAGAAAATTCATGCCGAATATCGTCTTCATTTATATCTGTAGGTAAATTTCCTACAAAAATCCGTCTATTCGTAGCCATTTTTATTAAACACAATCTAATAATAATTTCTCTAAAATCAAATAATGCAAACTCTAATTAATTATAAAACAAATAACATATTTAACCAATAACAAAAAAGTTGTGGATCATGGATCATATCATAACCCCGTCAAATAAGCACGTGTTGTTTTTTGACAAGTGAAGCAATACAAATTTTGACAAGTGAAGTTTGTTAAATTGTCAAATAATAATAATGGACACCAACTGCATAACTTTCGTGAAATTTGCCATAGATTCAGAGCGGTAGGGAAAGTTACGACCGCTACGGCGCGATGGCGCTTTAATTGCATATCGCTCAGCAGCCCCGCGCTCATAAATGCATTCAAATTAAAGCGCCAAAATTAGAAATGAAAGAAATGAACAAAAATTGGCAAATTCGCGAACTGATGATATTAGCGCATAAATTTTCATAAAAAAGGAAATGCAAGAAGCCATTTTTTAAAGAATATATAATAAATCCCCAATTGAATTAATATATTTATCGCTTTATACCTCTTAACTATTAAATTAAACTTACAAAAAAACCTTTTTTTTGTTTTTGTTTATAACACTTAATGATGATTTTGGCATACCTTTGAAACCATTGATGAAAATGTGTGTAGTAGATATAAATTATGAAAGGGATTCATTTATTTAAAAGAATAAAAAAAAAATAATAATAAAAGCAATGGTGTGGGGAGCATGTATTTAGGAAAGGTAGATTCAGCATTTGATTAGCATGAATCCTCCATGTATTAAGTTTTGTGCAATGTATGTCCAGCAGTAGAAATAAAGAAGTGCAAAAAAAGGTTTTTGGTGTTTATATAATTATTAGCATTGTCAACATTAATAATAATCAGTATAATCAATGCTACTAAACTTTTAAACACTGATGTTGAAGTTTTTCAAAATTTATCTAAATTTCTTTTGATGTAATGTTTTTCAATAATACAATATAATTATTTACTAGCATTATACAAATATTACTCATCAACTTTTATTAGGTACTATTGAATGTGTCACACAACTCAGTAGCCTGTCCCATCAATGTTCTTAAAAAAAAAAAAACTTAAAATTGTTCATTGTTCAACATATTTCAGATTTGAATAAATATATAAATACTGTAAATAATTTTTTGGTAATTACATTTAGTATTAAAAACTCTTATTCTCATATTTAAAATCTCAATGCATTTGATAGTTTTTATTCCTCAAAGATTTGTTCATGAAACAGCAATTGCCTTAAGGCACAATGCTATACACTAGTTATTAAAATAATTTTTCTTAAAGTTATAATCTCATTTGTGACTTCCTTGTATATACAATTGACATCATATATATATATATATATATATATATATATATATATATATATATATTTGAAAGTAACTAGCAGCCTATTCGTCGAAATTAAAAATGTAATAAAGTATTTAAACCTTTTATTTATGTTTTGACACCAGGTGCGTGCCATCACTCAGCAACTGCAATAAATCAGGTGTCAAAAAGTATAAATAAAAGGTTTAAATACTTTTTTACATTTTTTATTTTGACGAATGGGCTGCTAGTTACTTTGGAATATGTTTCATCGTCGAAAAAACTATCAAGATATATATATATATATATATATATATATATTTTGTTTGACACTGAATATGTTAAAATTACATATATATATATATATATATATATATATATAAATTTGTTTCCTAAGTAAATTGGTTACTATTATTTTTTGAAAATATATTCAATGTCAAACAATAAAAAAAAATATAAGTACAAAATTTCACATCATTAATGGTTATACATTTATACACTGATTTTTATCTTCATCAATGTTGACCACAAACATTTTATTTAGCAATCCATCACCCAAGTACACTTTACTATTGCTTGATAATAAACTTTCATATCGTTTTAACTCTAAATATTCTTTAGTGAGAAGAATTTTGTTTGCTTCTGCTTTTCTAGATGATTCATAAAACTCAGAATCAACACGAGTTTTTTCTCGTGCTTGTTTTATTTCATTTTCAATCAGTTCAATGCGCTGCAATGATTCGGCCTCCAATATTTTTTGTTCATTGACAATCTTAGCAACTTCTGCTTGTTTTTTAGCCTCAATTATAGATCGCATTCGTTCTGTTTCAGCTTCTTTTTCCACTACCTAATTTGCATTCACCAAATTATTTTCTATTTATTCATTACAAATATCATAAATATGGAATTTATGAACAAATTAGAAATAATTAATTGAATTAGATTGTATTAAACGCAAAATTTTTAATGCCAAATAAATAAATTAAACTTGCACTTCTAAGTGCATTAATATTAGAGAAAGATTAAATTAACTGCATGCATTATCAATAAATTTTGAAGATAATTTCATAAAATCCTTAAATAATATGGTTATATATATCCTTCACACCATTCAATAAGAAATTTAAAACTGTGTCACATAATTTTTAACAAAGATCGTACATATATACCTTTTGATGTTGTATCGAAATGAGAAGCTTAGTTTTTTCTCCTTCCATCATTTCATAATTCTTTCGAATAGTTTCAGGTATCTTAGGTTTAGTAACACGCACTCCTTGTATAATTAAACCAGAGGCCATTTCATTTAAATCCTTTTGCAAAGCCTAAAATCATATAAAAGTTTTAAATTTCTCTATTGTAAACTATTACTTTGGATCGGAAACATATATATTTGTATACTCTTTTTAGGTTCCCATCGATCTGATCAAAATAATCAATATAAACTTCATGTAAAGTATGAACACTGCAGAATTTATTGAGCTCATGATGAACTTTGTCAAAAATAAGAACTTTATCATAGTCAACAGTATAATTTCTAACAATATCATAAACTGAAAAAATATTAAGAAATAGCAAACTTTTATAATATTTAAATGCATTGATTCCATTGATTATACCGCTGTTAGAATTAAGTATATTAACAACTTCTATTCGGTCAAAGTAAATTATTACACCACCACTTGTGCCACATGCCACATTTTTCACTTCATCAGTCTGTATTGTTACCTAAATCAATTTAAATTTTTAATATCATTTTTTTTTTTTAAATAGATGCCACTAGTTCTTTACATACCTGCACAGACTTATACGATGTTAGAAAAGGTAACATCAAATGAAAACCTGGGCTGCTAATTTGTTGCAATAATGCACCACCCTGTAAATTTCCAATTATTATTTATTTTGACCAGAGTAGATGTCAGTAGATTAATAACACGTAATTAAATCATTTTGAACCTATTATGTAAAAATTTTATTTCCTCTTACTTCTAATAAGTAATTTATTTATCAAGCCATATAGAAGTAACTTCTATAAATGTTGCATAAGTTTTGTGTTCACTTTTTGAAAGAACAGAGCGCCCGATTTGAGTAATTCAAAAAATATTATTTGTATAGACGAACTGAACACATATGCACATCAAATTATCAGATATTTTATAGACCTTTAATAAAAAGTATAAATTTTGTGTATATTTCTATGGCTTCCGTACCAATGTTTATCCGTTAGTCTATGATGCGGCGCTTATGCGCTTCGATATTTCATCTCTAAAACAGCTATGGAACACGATTGCTTTAGAAAAAGTTCAAAATTTTCAAAAGATTTCAAATATAAAAATAAATTTAAATTTTCAAATTTCAAATATATTCAAAAATTTCAATTTCTCAAAACCTAATTTTTTCAAACTTCGAAAAATTTTAAAGCTGTTTTAAAAATTTTAATTGTCGGTATGGGAAGTGACATCAATTTTTTTTAAGGCACAATGCCATGTAGCACTAGTTGTCATTTTGTTTTCTCTTTATAAAATTATTTTAACATTTATTTACATAAATATTTGGATATCAGAATGACAAGACATTCTAATACCTAGTTTAGCATGTTCCTCATGTAATTAACTATATTATATTCCTAAACATTTATATTTCATACCCTGAAGTAAACACCAACATGTCCTTCTTCCACCTTATGCAAAGAATAATTAACACAGACTATTGTAACTAAAACTATAAATAATGGAACAGTAACTTGATCAGACATAATTGTTATTATGATATTATAACATTTCCTTCTGCTATTGTTTTGTTCTGCTTTGCGGTGCTTGCTCGTAATTATAATGTAATGCTGAGATCTATAATATCACCTACAATTTTAAGATACGGTACAGATTATTCAAATATTTGTTCTTTAAAGTCAGAGATAAATAATATAACAGGTTATATTTTTACGTTGATATCATTCATAATTCTGCATGATGAAGACATGTATATTTTTTCACATTATGCAATCTATTTCAGTTAATTTTAAATACTAAATAAAAATAATAACGAAATAAAATAAATACGCATTCTCTAACTGCGAGTTTCGGGTAGATCAGGTTAAACTTATCCATTAGAGCATTAGAGATTAGCCAATATACAATCGCCGTTTCGGCTGTCAATTTGACAGTCGATTCGAAAATCAAACAAATACCAACCGCCAAATGTGTCTTGTCGAGTATGGCGCGCAATTGTATTTTTGAAAAAAAAATAAAAATCAAAATTTTGTAGTAGTCAGCCTAAACAAGGGCGAGCAACCTTTTTAATTCACGGGCCAATTTAAATTTTAAAATTTTATGGCGGCCGCGCGCGTAATTTATATATATACTAGCTGACCCGGCAAAAAATTTAGCCACAAGGATATTTTCTAGAAAATTATTAGTATAAAAAATAAGTAACTAATTCTGAAT